CAGCATTTTCGTGGACCGTTGATTGGAGAGATTTTGTCCGCGCTATACTATAGCAACTAAGCGGCATGATAAACTGCGAAGCACGACGGTCACGTTGATGCATTTAATAATTAACTTAGCGTGGCTGTTTCGCTGGGAAGCCAACCGTGCCAAAATCGTAGAAGATTATTTGATAAATTCGAAATTAATTCACAAGTTCTATTCAAAGAACAAGCAATACTTGTACAAATTCAAAGAAACATAAATATAAAATAGTAACCTTAATTTCTTCAAAGGATAGTTTTAATCCTTTCAAATATTTTTCAGCACCTAAACATAGTTTTGTATATTATGATTCTCATGTACTTAGTGAACGAACACTTTCTTTTTCAGACTTTTCAGTCGAGCTACTTTCATAATTACTGGCACACATTCCTCAGGAGACGTTTTTATGAGGTCAAATATAAATAGATTATGTGTAGTATTAATTCATAGTTAGTGACCCTAAATGTCTTTTAAGCATATACCTGCTAATCCCTTGGTCAAAAGTAATGATATGAAGTTACATACATACCGACTATGTCCTTCAAGAATAAAGTCTTAGAATTTCATTTATAAAATAATTTGTAGCAAAAATGTGTAGATTCTAACTGGATTGAATAATCAGTAACTGAAATGAGTTTAAATGATTTTTGAACGAAATACAAAAATCATGTCAGTATTATTAAATTTAGCATCGTTAGTAACATTTTATTCCGTCACAATTTCATACAGTAAAATTTAAAAATTTGAAATTCAATTATATTATTATAAATCTCGGAAATAACGCGATAATCACAATTTTTGTTCCGTCGCTCGTTAATTTGTAATGTAATTAAATTCCCAGGAATTAATGCTGTAAACGAGAATATTTTCTGTACAAAGTTCTATCAAGGTAGAAATTTATTCCTTCGTGCCTCGTCCGTAACTTTACATTTCATTCCGCGCAGTACGAACAACTTTCTTCTATCGTTATTTACAAACTAAAAAGTTCAGTCGAACGAACGAACGCAATCTTGCTCCTCAGACGAAATTTATTCGCGGGGAAAGCAAATTATTTAGAATCCGAGAATAACGAATAAATGAATATTATTCGGTATTCTTTGTTCGTTGATCGGATAAAGATTTGCCCCAGCAAATGTCCTATTCTTAAAGTGAAATTTACTTACGATAAATGAAACTCGTTGCCTCGTTACGCACCACGAATATTTTTCATTTCCCAGTACAGTTTGAAACTTACCTTCGCGCGAATAAATAAAATAAAGTATCTCGAGCATCTTGAACAATACCTCACGACCGAGTACACCGGTTCAAAGGTTAACGTCGATAAGCAACAATGAAATATTGTATAGTTCTTAAGTTGGTCCAATGTCCATTCGTGCAAAGTTATATGAAAACCGAAGTCTGGCAGTTTGCGCTGTTCCTCGCGAACAAGGAGCCAAGCACTTTGCCAGCTGTTCGCGCCTTGTTTCGCCTCGGCTTTGCTCATACGTGTATAATGCGTTTTCGCTTAAACGACGTCGACAATACCGCGTGAAACAGACGTCAGAAACAGGTCGCCGAGTCGCATGTACGCGCATACGTTTAGGAGACCAATCAAATTGCCGTCGACGTTGCTTTGCACTGCATTGCCAAGAACGTTATTCACCTGCCGGGGTGAATTGCCAAAATGTAGTGCTGTCTGTCAGATCGAACGGCCGCCTGGAACTCTGACGATTTTTCATCGTCGCCGTGCCCTCCCCCCTCCCCACCTATCGTCGTCCTCGAAGTCAACGCGTTGTACAATAGCTCGAAACGCGAGGTTTCATAGCCAAAATCCAATTTTTCAACATCGATATTCGACAAAAAAAAGTTTCCAATGAATGACAAACCTCCGGAGGTTTCGAATAACTCTGTGATCGTAGGCAGCGTTCTGTCGATCAAAATATGAAATCAAAAGTGAAACTAATTCCAGTTAGCTGATAATTTAATTAATGTTGCAGAATTTGCAGAGCTACATAGCAGGCGCAAATCTCGGTGAACCTTCCACGAATTCCACGACTGCCCTGCGCAATAGAGGGTTAAGATACTAATTGAACGTCGATCAAGGTGTGGCGAAAGGCTTAGAGAACCGATTATCGGCGCAAATGGCACGACAATCGGCGAAAGAAGGACGTGTGGAGCGGCAATCGAGGAAACTAAGAGGAACGATAAATATTGCGGAACGGTCACGGGAATTTACGAGACGTAAGAAATCAAAGTGGATAGGAGGCGATAAGGGTAGAACCAGGGGAGCAAGAAGGAGTATTTGCGCCCCGAAAGGGCTTTTCACCGGCAGCGGCAGCGTCTTCAAGATACTCGGTCAACAAGCAGCGCAAGTCTAAGTCCCTTCTTCTTTTGACGCCTACGGCGGCGAAGGCGGTACTTTAAGCCGCTACCAGTCGCGTTTTTTGCCTTATTCGCGAATACCGTCACGGCTTTATCCTCTTATTTAGACGTCGAGTAGACTGTGCGACACAGGGATGAAAAACGAAAAGCGACATGGGACTAAACTGCGTTCCGTTTGGAGTCGGAAGGTGTTTGAAATTGGAACGTACGGAAAGCCTGTGGTCGTATTCGCTTGGTACGTTCGACGAACGCCTATGGGCGTGCACAGCATGAATTCTTGGGTTATTTATGTCCATTGGTACGACCGACTTGTAATTTATTTCGTTCAGTTTATCGTAGAAGAATAATTTTATCATAGAATAAAATTTGTTGAAAACTGAAGACGATTTAACAAAGTAGGACCTCCAATTTCTGTAGACTGTTACGTACAAGGATTAAATTACGTTTCATTGTACGAACGCCGGTGGGAATCGGGCTGATCGCGGGTACTCGGGGCCCGCACGAAATCGGGATCGAGTAAGCCTCGGTTCCCTTATCTTCGAGAAGCAAAAAATTAAGACGGGACGTCGGGTGGGATAAGTAGAGAAATAGAAAACAGAAGGAGCAGAATCGCGGAAAAAGGAGGACAAAAGGCGAAGAAGAAGCAGAAGCGAAAGGAGTACTCACCCCCTCAGGCCGAAAGCCCTCTTTGCCAGCTCCAGCTTGAAGACACTCGGTCAACAAGCGGCAGAAGCCCGAGTCTTGGCCGTTTTCCTCTGGCGTGTACAACAGGAGAAGGTCGTTACACCGGAAGACCGTGTCACTTCTCAGCTTCACTATGACACGACACTAACACCGCGGTTCTGCGACGGATAAGGGATGGAGAGCTGGCCGTAGCGGGCGGTGGGTGGGTAAATAGCCAAAGGAGTGCGTCACTTTTTCGGCCGATCGGACGGGGTAGGCCTTTCGCGAATCTGCTCGACCGGTCGTGACGGGAGTTTCGAACGCGCGTACACGGGACGCTGGTGCCCCTGGGGATCGAAAAGAACGATGATGGAAACCGACGACGTGGCAAGACGGCGACCGGGTAACTCCAGGTCCGCGACGAGGTTCGAAAGAGACGGGCGGGAAGGGGCTACGGGGAAAAAGAAAGAGACCGAGAAAGACGGGCTAAGATTAGAATACCGTACAGGGGCCTAAACGAAACGGAAGAGAAGATGGCGAGGAAGGTGCAAACGCGCGAGACGAATACAATACACTTCGAATGCTGTTCCTCTTTGAGGTGTCGGGGACAGAGAGGGGTGGGGGGACGTGGAGGCAAAGAGAATGATTTTAGATTCAGTGCCAGAAAAATCACCGACCAATCGCGAGGGACCACAGGACAAATCGAGATCGCCATCTCTCGGCCAACTGGGGCCATCGAACGACATTAATAGACCTTTCTCTCGCGTCGATCGAGTCTCCTAATTGCCGGGAAATCGTTGTCGCTGATAGATTGAGAAACGAAAAGGACAGGCTCTTTAACCCTAGAATGTTTCACTGCTGGGGTCGTTTAAGAGAGCTGCTTGGAATTTTCGAACGAAAATTGAGGGTTCTTTAATAGAAACTGAGAAAATGAATTTAATATTCATGGTTTAAATACCTGTTCAAGTACGATTGAAGTGGTCATCGTTTGGTAATGACGAATCGTTACGTCAGCGTTCAATAATCTGTCGATCTTAATTGATGCAAAGATTGAATATTCGAATAGCAAAATTTTGGTTTCAAGAATTCTAGTACAGAACATTTCGAACATTTGAAATTAAAGGCTCCATTACGCCGAGAATATTGATAAATGATCGGGTCAGTTTAACGCTGGAAACCATTAATCAACGTCACGCAAACATTTGTCGAGGGTAAGATCTGGTGAAAGTATTTCACTCGTAGGAATGGACAAAATACTTCCTGAAGATATTAATTTTTGTCTATCTCGAAGGAAGAATCGAATGGCATTAATTTATAAATACATAGAGATATAAATCAATCACTTTTGTACTTCGAGGTCATGAACTTTGACGTCATCGCACTATATTATCAGAAACTTGTATCTATTTTGACACTGTAAAAAGAGGCCTTTCCGCTAAACATTGGCAAATATTATAGCATAATTATTTTACATTTCACATTAATATACTCTGTTATATAGTATTATTTTTACCAGCGATCAGCAATTACGAATGGAGGAGGCTACGAGCAAAGAAGATTGAGAAACACTGTCCAGAAATACCGCACTGCACAAAGCTATAAAGATTGCCTGTGATTTATGTTTACGATGTGAGAGAAATCCTTCTTTTCGCCTATAAACGCGTTTTCCAAGTGGTAGTACTATTAATCATCAGTTTATACGATACAAAATCTTGACAAATAGTGAAATTATCTTTTCTAAAAGCTCTCGTCGTTGACTCTGAATTCCATTCGAGGGCAATTTGACTGGTTCCTCCAATTTTGTTCTCGTTAGTAACAAGTTAAACATTGTACAATCTGTCACCACCACCATAAAATGTTAGAGTAATGGATTTTCAATTTACTCACATAGCATAAACACCTGCGACGACCTTGCATCGTGTAAGAATGGACGATGAATAGGCTTCTGCGCATCTACCTTGCGCTCGTGCAGAGTTGAGTGACGATTGTCGGTGGCGCCAATATCTCGTGACCTAGGAACCTATTAACAAGATTATATTTATATTAGCGGTTGAATGAATTTCATCGAAAATTTATATTTAAGTTCTATATTCTGGCCACAAGATCTGATTAAATTTCCAGCAATATTTCCTCTACCTTCTCTATTAAAAAAAGATTATATACAATTTTAATCGTTGTATACTTTAATTATAAATTTGGACTGAAATAATATTTCGGTAATGCGACGTATTCGTCTCTGTCAATTTTTAGATCGGAATGCATTGGATTTGTTGCACGGTTTACACGTGTATCAGAGTTGCCCAAACGTACCCGACGCTATATAAATAAGACTCCGTAGCCCCCGACGGAGTCTCTGAATTTTTCATATTCCGATAATGGGATACACGAAATCGCTGGATGCGCTTGCATTCATTCGCGTGTATGTAAATGTTTGTCTGCGGTGTACGGACACCGTTGGATCCCGGCATTGAGGCTCAGATGACATTATCGGCTCTGGAATTTTCACTTATTGTTCGCCCGCGAGCGTACGTATGCACACAACGTGTATACGTACGAGCATTGACGATGGTTGCGCGTTATTATCGGTATTCATGTCTGTGCTACTCGTCCCGTGGATTTGTATTTATGTATGCCGTCGTCGAAAGCGTATTTCTAACTTCGTTTCTACGGTCGATCGTAAATATCACCCCCAATCACGTCAACCTGACATCGCTTCAGTCGGTCGGAGACATGGCAAAATATATTTCAGGTAATACTCGAACGACTATGAGTTTTATTTATTGGCAATTTATTTACTGACATTATACCGATCGAACTAGACGTTGCACGGGATGTTTAAAAAAGAAATTTAAATTCCTCTTGCCGCAGAGTCCTTGTGCCCTATTACTATAATCTAAGAATACAGTAATTTCTGAAAAAGAGGGAGCTATTTCGTTCTCGTAATCTCAAATCTCAGACCGAAATTAACGCGTATTTTCCGCGAGCATATAAATTTTCCAACAGATCGATTCCGCCAACAAATTAGTTTGCACTTCGCGCCGTATAAACGCTAAAAATCCTCACAGTTTCCATAGTATCGCGACCACGATGATCTCTCAATCGAGAAATTCTGATCGAGCGACGGACAATATCACGGGTCGCGGAGGCTTAACAAGCACGAATGGATCCCGAGAGGTATAGTGGTAACGAAGAGCTACAGGACCAACATGCGTATATATAATCGCGAAGGGAAAGGGGTCCTCGGATTAAAGGAAGATAACTGCATCGTAATCTCCAATCTGAAGTTCCCCACGGGAAATACCAGCGCTACTCGCTACGTTCATGCAGAGAAAGGAATTGCATTCCAAAAAGCAACCGTGAAACGTCTAACCATCCCTCCCACCTCCCACGGGTCGCTGCTTTTTCCGACAAGTTAGTAATTTCCGCGTGTTCCTTCCGTTTCGGATTCTCTATCGTCCCGACGAGGGTAATGGAGCAGGTTCATATTGTACAAAGAAAGGAAGATCAGTCCCTGGTTAAAGGGAACGTGGCAAAGAAGACCGAGGATGAAAGCAATTTTGGTGTTTATTTTTCTCCGGCTCGATGGCTTTTCATTGTTCCTTACTCGATACACTGATCAAAGTGGACAACTTTCTGACAACCGCCAAAACTTCCTATCATAGTTCATAATTTTTTACTAGAGTGCTAAGCTCGAAATATGTCGTCCTGAGTGACTAACGAAAACGTCCTTCTTCTTCCTAGAATACTCAAACTCGTGAGACAGAAGCATTCATTAAATATGTGGGCTATCCTTGTAGACGATATTAATGGGTTCGAGTACTAAATTAGTGGAATATCCTATGTCCAGAGCCACCATTCAGAAACAGAAGACGTCCTACAAATTCGGGGAATTAATAAGACGGAATAAATTAATGGTATATTCGTACGACCCATAAATTGCCATTCCGCGATTCGAATTCACTGCGCTTGTGACAATTCTAATTGTTCGAGGTTTACGTTCGTATCGCTAGGAGCATTTCGAACCGACTCTTTGTTACGCGTTCTGCTATTTCACGCATAGTTTATGGGGCAAAGTTATCCCATTTGCTGCTGCTAGGGACACAAGAACAATGTTGAATTTTCGTCGATGCTCGTGCATTCGCGATCACGTCGGAATAATGTTACAATGCGCATATTAAAGCGCACTTACTTGCGGCTCGGTGCACTGTTGCGCGCAGAAATTTACTCGATAGCTGTATTAGGTGGCTGATTCGAACGGAGAGGCAACGAAGCAATTTTCATGCGAACTTGCATAAATTGAACAAAAAGCGGCGCGATATATGCGCCGTAAATCAACGGTGTACCCTTCTTTTCGTGCTTCTGGAGTTTAATATTAAGTTATCTCTTTGATATCCTTGGAATAGAGTTACCAAAGCGGCGTGCGAATGCATGGAACGTTCATTGACGATTATTACGAAGACGACGTCCTCATTTCGTAGAACGCACTTGCGTTCCAAGTTTATGCAGGGTGTAAATCTCTCCGTGGCTGCTGTATATTAGCTTCCTTACTGTCGAATCATCCCTCCATGACTGCCAAGTCACGAACATCCGCGACAGACAACGATCCCCGAACGAAATTTAGAAAGACAAGGCGTCGGTAGTAAAGCAGGAAATACTACATCCACTTACGGTAAAACGACATCGCAACAGCCGTCTTTTCCTGTCGCGGGAATAGGTGCTCGGAATATACATAACGAGTTCGTATAATACTAGAAAACCCGATTCGTCCTGCTTCGAGGTGCTTTACAAGTCGCACTACGAAATAAATGCAACTTCGACTTAATTAACAAGCTAAGAAAATTAATGCACGATGGACGTTGAAGCTTTTAACTGAAATTACTAGGCTGCCCCCTCGAACGAGAACTCGATTAAGGGTTCGATCGGTTTTATTTGCCGACGAAGCATGCTAATTTAAAAAAATACGCACCTCCGAGTGCCGGGAAATCCTCATCGAATTCTAGAAACTGAACATCGATGACACTGGAGCGTCAATGTATGCTCGACGATCGATTAATTGGACCGTATTTTATTGATGGATAATTGACGACGTCACGGGCGCTGAATTATTCTGACAGAAGTTTATAATATAATGATGATTTCGTACAGATCAGAATCAAATTTAATTCTCTATAACCCACACTATTTTTGACGTACAAAAACATTATTGAATAGGACATTCATAAATAAAAATTCTACCGAAGGGGATATGTTTTATAATGATGGCTGATTAAAACGTCTGACCCAATGCGGGTCACAGTTCCATGTAGGTCTAATTTTTCTTTTGTCCTAGAATAGCGGCGCGATACCAACGCGACGGTCGTCCCACTGATTATGCAAGGCAGTTTCGAGAAGTGTTATGGGTACGTTTCTGTACAGTCGTTGGATTGGTCGTGGCGGAGAATTTCTGTAATTTCTGTAGCCGCGTTCGCCGTACTTGACGACACTGGATTGTTTCCTACGGGATGCATTAAAGCGTTACGCCACTAAAGCGGTCGTAAAAAAGACAAAGTTTGTCCTTATAACTGTGAAAAAGCCTATATTTTCACATATGCGATTCACGGTTTAACAATAAATATATTTAAATAAACTGATACCTACAAATTGAATCCAAGTGTTTAAAATATAATTTTTCTAAACTCTGTTCATATTTGGAATTTTATCTTGTACGGAGCCCGAAACCATTCTTCGATAACACGCGAAATCTTAAATTAATTTTCGAGTCGGCGAACGGCGAACGGTAATGAGCGTAGACGGCTTCGCGAGGTTTGTTTCTCTCGACTGGATAGCTGGTACCAAGCTGAATAACCGAAAACGAGGCAAAGACAGAGAGGAAATGACAACACGCCGTGAACGGCAGATGAGACAGGCCAAAGTGGCGTGAAAATAAACCCTAGCGAAGGAGCGCCACGAGGAAGTTCATTGCATACGACCGATTTTCAGGAAGGAAGACGACGGGGGAACAAAGAGGTTACTTTCCAGTCGCTGGAAAAAGGAAAAGCAATGTCTGATCCTGAACTCCAACTAAATCAATGGCTACAAAACTTTTTGCTTCAACTATTCTATACAAATGCAATTTTGTCTACATTCTAATAACGGGCTTTTTTTATTCTCCTGATTCGGTCATCTGTGACTTTCATTTTCCCTAGTACGAAGATAAGAGTCAAAAAAGATTCCTCACGGTTGAAAAGATTCACGAAGAGGATTGTGCTGAACAGCATGAAGAAGAAGGACTTTCAGATGTTCCAACAATGGCGGAATCATCTTGCATCAACTCCCTAGGGGACTACTTCGAGGGGTATGGTAGCCACTTAAATCTCAGACTAGTCTGTCACTCTTATAAAGCCTGTTTGGAAAATTTTGACACTCCCTCGTATTCCGGACTTAGGGTTTCGTAATCTTCGTCAGTGAAGACAGCTGTTTTTTCAGGATGCCATTGTTTCATATCAGTATTGTTAGTAATGCACATATGCAGGGTCTCGCATTTAACTTGATCATCGTGTTTACAAAGTACAGTAACTTAGAAAACAGCTAAAAGGTGTGAGAAACCTCGAAGTAATTATTAAATAGTTATTTCAGAGAGTCGACGAAACGCGCCACCTAAGTCGAGGAGACAAACCAAATAACTTGGAATCATTCTGAAACCACGTTTACGCGAGGGGAATACGCGGAAATTTACGAACTGGCGCGCCGTTTAGCAACTTTACTCGCGACTAAAGTTTTAATATCGCGTTACGGGCGTCATAACACGTTCGAGGAACTTCGTGATCTGACTGTGGATACACTTAGTAGATAGATTGCCGTCACTGTGGATTCCACGGCGAGGAAGCTTAGCCGCGAATCCGTGCAAATTGAGCCACGGGAGCCGTGTCTTAGGAAGCTCGCGTGTCTCCTCTTTGAAATTCCGAAATTCGCGCTCCGCGGTGTGTGAGAACGAGCAAGTAAGTGAATCCCCAGGCTTAATCGATTATCCGCACTGTTGTG